AGCTCATTTTGATTTATTGTAGAGATGAGGTCTCGCCAAGTTGCCCAGGTGGGTCTCGAACCTGCGGGCTCAGGCAATCCACTCACCTCAGTCCCCCAAAGGCGTGGGATTACAGGCTGAGCCACCAAGCTGGCTAAATTAACTTGTTTTAACTGCTTCTATGGACTAGCCCCAGAGCTTTGTAAGTGTTTATTATTAGCTAATCTCCTAGCTCTCACAACTCTGCTAACTGGGCACTATTCCGATTCCTATCTACAAATGGAACAGGGAGAATCCAAGAGAAAGTCTTGCTTGGGAGAGTCATGGCTTTGTCTGTCTACCTCCTTAGGTTAAGCTCTCTCTCCGCCCACACATTCAATTAGGCTCAGCTTGATGTCAGCTTGAACAGTTAGTCACTACTAGGTGGCTCAGTGAATAAATGAGGCCCTCATGATTATTGCTTAAAATGAATAATCACACAAATAAATAGGCCTCTATCAGAAGGACTTTCTTTTTATTTTTATTTTTGAGTCAGAGTCTCTGTCACCCAGGTTGGAGTACAGTGGCATGCTCACAGCCACCACAGCTTTGACCTGCTGGACTCAGGCATTCCTTCCACTTGGCCTGGAACTACAGGTGCGCACAACCATGCCCAGCTAATTTTTGGATGTATTGTAGAGACGAGGTCTTGCCATGTTACCCAGGCTCAAGCAATCCTCTCATCTCCACCTCCCAAAGTGCTGGGATTACAGGTGTGAGCCACTGTACCCAGCTATCAGGAGGATTTAAATAGCCTGGGAAAACTTCCCTGCAAAAGTATCACTTAAAGATCTGAAAAGGGAACAGGAGTTAACTAGATAAGAAAAGAAGGATGCTCATGCTAAGCAGAGGGTAGAGCGTGTGCCCAAATTCTGTGGCAGAAGGAAATAGAACAGAAAAAAAGACCAAAAGAAGGATGGGTCTTTCCTCCTCTTCCCATCCTGGTCTAGTCTGTCTTCGCAGAAGAGAGGTACGCTGCCTCCCAGCACACAGACCAGATTGTCTAGGATAGGGAAAGAAGTGTCTCCCAGAATGGGTGTCTTAACAGCAGAGGCCCTGCTTTGAGGAGCCTCTGTCCTTTTCCAGAGGCAAAGAACGGAATAGCACCAGACTCTCACTGTAAGTGCCTGAGCTCTGAAAAGCAGGCCCCTATCCGCTCTTATGCTGGCTGTCATAAGGGCTGGGAATTCAGCTACTCTCAAATCTCTCATTAGAGTATCCCTACCCAGGACACCCCCACCTTGCCAGGGCAGTGGTAGGCAAGGAGTCTCTCTGCCTAAGTCATAAACATAGGTAGGCTCTTGGAACAGAAATTGAGGCTGAGAGATCCTGTAAGCTTGCCTTCAGGCAGATTCCAGAGATCCAGCTGCCAGGACCCTCCCTACCCTATAGAGATTCAGCTAACATTCCCTCCCACGATCAAAAAAACAAAAAGGCAGAACCAACAAACTTTCCACTAGGGCTCTGACCAGCAATTAAGCCCAGGAGGGTGGAGTGAGGCTGTCCTTTCTCCTTTCCAGCCCAGCAGATAGATGACCAGCTTTATGGGGATGGGAGTGAAGGGTGGAACTCAGGCTTAGAAAGATCCATGAAAGAGTATGTGATAAAAGGCATAAGTGGGATAGGGCCCAGTGACCCTTGTTCCATGGACTGCAGCAGGGGAAGGGTTAAGGGGCAGGGCCTTCTAGAACCCAGGAAAAGTGCCCCACCCAGGGGAGGGACTCATATGTTAAAAGGCAAGCTGCTTGAGTGAAGAAGCAGGGACAGAGCCGCCCTATAGCCAAAAGCGTCCCTGGTCTGCAGTTCTAGCTGCTTGGGTAAGTGCTCCTTCTCTGGGTCTGTCTGCTTATCTGCTTGTTGGTCTGACCAATTGGTTTGACCAGAGGGAAACTTCTGCTTCATTATGTCATCTGCAGTTTAACACTGGTCCTGGGTCCTCAAGGAAACTTAACACACTCTAGCTCTGCAGAGGCCTCTTTGGGCCAGTCTCCTTCCCCTACCCACTTGGACCCTGCCTGGGATTATAGAATCAAGGAGATGCTGGCTTGGGAGGGAGCTGCAGAATAGGGAGGGCAGGGAGCTGCGTGTCTCCAGCCGGGACCTGTTCTGCCCTCAGCCCCTGGCTCTCCCTGCCCACAGTGCTTTCCAAACCATGCTTCCTGTGCCCCCTGCAGGGCCCTGGCTGGGATATCATCATATACTGTAAGTTTGTGAAGAGACACTACAGTATAGATGATGTACTAGTCCGGGTACCCCCACCTCTGGAGACTGATGAGGAGAGATGCTGCAAGCCCAAGAGGCTCACCACTCAGCCTGTCACAGCCTGCTGATTGCCAGGGCACTTGGGAATGGCGAGGAAACCGTTACCATTACTGAGTTTAGTGATGGTAACGGTTCTCTTGCTGTACCCAGAAAATGTGCCAAGAAGAGAGCTCAGGACCCTGGAGCAGACTACTGGAAGGGAGGGGGAACTCCAGCTAATGGGGGTGACGGTGGGAGATAAGGGAATAGTTACATTTTCTCTTTCCTGCACTGAAGAAATAAAGATAAGAACCAGAATGCTTGTCTTTTGATTTTATTAGCATCCAAGACTAGAGAGAGGGATGGGGTGGGAGGGATTGAGAATTGGGGAGCAAGTGGGAGGTACTACCTCACTCAGGAAACTTGATTACTCACACAGCTTCAAGATAGAGAAACCCAGGGGGAAAAGAGAAAGATCTACCCCCTGCTAATAACAGCAACTTGAGGAGAGACTCTGGGCCCAATGCCAGCTGGAGGCAATGTGGCACTGCTCTCACCAAGAGGCCATAGCTGTGGCCCCAGGCAGAGGAACTACCTGGGAACGTAGGTAAAGCGAGTTCCTTCTTTCAACAAGACACAGCTGAGCCACTGTGTCACTGTGACACTGGCCAGGTGGGCCAGTAGCCAATCAGTGTCCATGATCCTGACCAGTCCCTGCAGGTCCCCCAGCCAGGGGCAGTTCAGGACCCCAGTCAGGTTCTGACAGCATTAGAGCTAGGAAGCTGGGAAGCCCTGGGAGGGGCAGTAGAGGGTGGTCACTTGAGGTGCTTCACACAGAGATGGATCTGAACGTCACAGAGGAAGATGTCCATGAGGTCGCGGCCCACCTCCTGTGCAATCCGGGAGATCAGGTGGCCCTTTGGACCAATCAGGAGCCTCTGAGGGTATGTAAAAGAACATGGAAGCCAGTCCAGCCTAGGCAACATCACAAGAACACGTTTTTGTTTTTTACCCCCCCCCGAATACACTCTTAAAAATAGAGAGAGAAAGAGAGAGAGAACATGGTCCTGCTCTCAGGGCTCCCAAGCTGAGAGGAAGAACTTCTGCCTTTGTCCCTCCTTTGAGTTTCACTTACCACATGAGATTCTTTGGGCACCAGAAGTTTCTGCTGTATAACCAGTTCCCCACTTGGTCCTTCCTCCCACACTAATGTCTTCTGTATAGGGAAACATCATGATTAGTCAGTCACACCCCTGCATCTCTGGGATCCAAGTGTACTGCTCTGGGTGTGTGCCTGGGATAGAATCCCCAGATCCCTTCACTCTGTCTGCACCTGCTGCACATTGTAGGGCACCTCCTGGGGCAGGTGCTCTAGGAGCTTCTCTCGGATGATGTTGGCGCAGATCTCTTCTGGTGTTTGGCTAGTGAGGACTCCACTGTGGAACTCCCAGGGCCCTGGCTGGGCCTGTGCCAGGAGGTATTGCTGTGGGTACAAAGGGAGTAGATGGGCATCTACATCCCAACCAGGACTTTCCTACTCACTTTTGCTTCCAGGAGGAAGTCTGAGGTCTGTCTTCACATCGTAGAAACCAAGGGCCAGGCTATGGCCAAGGGTAACTGACCTTTAGTGTTTTCACATCCTCCTGGCTTAGGGCTGACAACATGAAGATCTCTTGGAAGTGGGGCCAGCCAGTCCCCTGAGGGCTTTCCACAGACTGGGTGTTTGGTTCCTTAGCTGCTGGGTTGGGGCAATGGGTAACAAGATGTGAGTCGAAGGCCTGCCTCATCTTGAGCTTTTTGCCACTGACCACACCTTCAGTGAGGGCTGCTGTGAGCTCCAGGAGAACAGACTTCTGCTTCAGGCAATCTACCTGGACAAGGGGGATGGGCAAAGGGTGTGTGGTCAGTGAGATGGGGGACTTGGAGGGAAGCAGACCTCTTCTTTGGGTAAGTGGTGCTCACCTTGTTCATGACAAGGATGCTGGGAACCTGGGAGAACTGGGTCAAGCACCGGATCACCTGGGGGCTGAGCTGGTTCCGAGTCCACTTGTCCGAGACATCCACAAGAACCACAACTGGAAGATGGTAAGATAGGGAGAAGGACCAGAATATGACCTGCACAAAAACTTCCATGGTACAGGCTCTGGCCAACTCCCACCCCCCAAACTACCAGAAATGAAAGGCCATGATGCTGGTAAAGTGGCCTTCAGATTCTTATCCTGAACCTAACCAAGATCTGCAGATTCCATGCTCTTCCATGGATCTTCCAACAAAGAGGGCTCCAGGTGGTGCCTGAGGGACAGATATATATCAGTCAGGAGGGTCTGACTTAGACATTCCTGCTGAGGAATGGAGTGTGGTGATGGGGTTTTCCAGCCCCTATGATGGAATTTCCCTGCCCCTTCTTCAACACCTCTCCCCCACCCATTTCAACAGTTATTACCTCTTCTGTTTAACAGGACTGATAATGCCAGGTGTGTCAAGTAGAATCTAAAATCAGAAAAGGGAGTTACCCAGGAGGAAGGATTATGACTGGGAAGTGAGAGAGAGGCCACCCTTGGTATCAGGAGCTTGCTCCTTCTTCTTGGTCAAACTGTTACTGACCTTAGACTTTTATCCTTCTGCTTTAATTCTAGGTGGGACCCAGGAGAAATGTGATGACTGTGAATACATGGCTTTATTTTCATTCTAGATGGGCCAGGTGCAGTGGCTCATGCCTGTGATCCCAGCATTTTGGGAGGCGGAGGTGAAGGTGAGAGGATTTCCCAAGCCAAGTGGTTCAAGACCAGTCTGGGCAATTTGGTGAGACCTCCATCTCCACAATAAAACAAAAACTCAGCCAGGCAGGGTGGCATGTGCCTGTGGTTCCAGTTATTTGGAAGGCTGAGCTGGAAGGATTGCCTGAGCCCAGCAGGTTGAGGCTGAGGTGGCCGTGAGCATGCCACTGCACTTCAACCTGGGTGACAATGAGATTTTGACTCAAAAAAAAATTCCAGACAGGATCCAGGAGGAAGGTGGTGACTGTGAATATATAATATATAGAAAATAAGGAAGCAGTAAAGAGAGAATGAGACCTTTCTGATTAGATGCCGGAGGAAGGAAGGTAAAGACAGAAGTATACCACGTCTAAGGAAGAGAAAACCCCCTTCCCTCAGATAAGTGAATGTAAGCATCATTTTCTTCACAGCTGATGGTAAGGTAGACCCTCTTAACTTCACCTTCTGTCCTGTTTCCAGAACCCCTTTGTAAGTACTCACCACCTGGGCCTCCTTGTCTGTGATGACCCCTAGAGCTTGGCAGCGAGTGGTATGCACCTTCTTGGAGACAGGGAACACCTGCCAGGAACAAAGGAGTCCCAGTGAGATCCCAGATCCCTCCAGGACCATCCATGAAAGCAGAGCAAGAAGTGAAAGATGGAAAAAGGGTAGGAGGGTCAAGGGTGTAGCATACTTTTCGGCCCAGCAGTTGGTTGGAGAGTGTTGACTTCCCTGCGTTTGGGGCTCCCAGGAGGACCACTCGTAGCACCCGGGGATTCTCAGGCATGTCGGGGTGATGGACCAAGAGGAGATCCTGCTCATCTGTGTGAGAGTGGGGAGAGGAGTGAGACATAGTAGAACGTGGATTCCCTGTCAAGTGCTCGTTCCGTCTACCCACAAAGGAAGTAGGGGTACAAGATTAGTGCTTGTACCTAGGTTAAGTTACCTAGGTCTGACTTTGAGACTTTGTTTGGCCTTTAATCTGTTTATATGACTTTGTAAAATTCTCTAACATTTCTAAGTCCCTTAGTTTTCTTAAAAATGCAAAATGGAGCCGGGCTCGGTGGCTCAGCCTGTAATCCCACGCCTTTGGGAGGCTGAGGTGA